AAAAACGCCAGGATCTCCCTTATGTTTCATACGAGCCCATCAGCTGACGCAAAAGACTTTGGAGTCTGACCAGCGGAGAATGAACAAAGTCGCTGACAGATGTTGACAGGCCTTACGGCGGAAGCCAACCCTGCCCTCCTGCGGAGCATCAGCCGCAGCGGTGAAGTCAAAGATGAGTCGCGGGACCCCAGGGTTGGAGAGACAAAGATGGAGGTCACTGTCTTCTGCAAGAAGGAGAACACATGAGAAGACCCTGAAGTGACAACGAGTCATGATATGTCATGATTCATGATTAAAATGATCACTGCAATGATGAATTTAGTTAGGGCAGAACACTCAGAACACTCAGAACACTCTTCTCTTCTCTTCTCTTCTCTTCTCTTCTCTTCTCTTCTCTTCTCTTCTTATCAAGATCGATCAACGAACCCACACGATTAAACAAGGTCGTCATGAGCTCCTCTGGGCTCCATCCCTTCATGGAGCGACCCACCGAGGCCCATCGCTGAAGTGGACGCTGGGGCGCTCGGAGGGCAAAGGGCCCACGCTGTCGACGGAGGGCGTGAGAACGGTATAGCAGGACCGTTCTGAGTCAGACTGTGTAGGGATGTTTGCAAGATCGGCGACGTGGGTGACGTACTGTGAAGCTTTTGATAGTGCATTTTGGATGCATTTGGATGATGCATTTGGATGCACTAAGGGAAACCATCCCTTCAGCCAAATGTGGTTGAACTCCAAACTGTCCAACTGCTCAGCTGCCAGCACTGCCGACAGACTCGTGTCGATTGTTGGTCGATTTTGTGTTCTTTGTTTTGGTTTTGGCAGGGAGTTGTGCCACAGATGTGCAGGAGGAAACAGAAGGTGTATAGCATGTATAGGACAAACGAGATGTTTCACTTGTGGAAGCAGCCTGCAGCCAAATCACCTTGTCCTGTCGTGTTCTTCTTGAAGCGGGGCTGAACACCGCAATTAAGCATATAGAACGAAAACAAGAAAACACGCAGTACATGTACATGTCTGGAAGCCACGCTGCACCCCACCAGTTAATCCTAGGCAGAAGAAGGAGATCTTTGACCAGGACACTCGTGTCGAAATCGCCTCGCCGACCCGCGCATGCCGCCCGGCGGACCGGTGCCGACCGCTTCGAGCGCCATTTCCGCGTTTCGCGCGGGCGAGGACCTGCTGCAGTCCATTTACGACAAGTCCATCCAGCGCGTCCCGAGTCCCCAGAGGCCGAAGGTGCCGGGCCGTAAAGCACAGCACGGCGTCTGCACGGCACAAGGTGAGAAAGGTGCCGCAGTGGCCCACTGAACAGCTTCAAAGGCATAGCCATGGTGTAAAAAGTTGGATGAAAGGGTGAGCAGAATGTGGAATAGCCTACCACAAAGCACGTTCGACCGGTGATCCTTGTCTCGTTTTTTTTTGCATTTCCTGCTTCTTTTTTCAGTAATCTTAGGTCAGAAACAAGGCAGCTGTCTTTGGAGGCGGCCTCATGGCAATCCTGCCTGGCTCTTACTTTGCCAAACTTTGCAAAGTTCCTTCGCACCAGTCGCAAGAGGCCTAGACATGTCGTCACAAATGCCGCTCGCAAAACACCGGTCGCATGTCATATCTTGCATGATTGTCATGTTCGCATGGATTGAAACGCCCATACAATCGGCCGTTCAGCCGTTCTTTTCGGTCATGACAGCAGGTCGATGCCGTTTGGTCCCATTGGAATGGCTGCCGGTGGTATTTTTGGAGCCTTAGTGGTGGCCTCAAGAAACCACGAGTTATCTGGCTGAAAGGCCCTTCGGAAATACCTTGGACCAGTGTCGATGGAGGAAATTCCCATGTGAAGCTTCATTCACCTCTGAATTCTAACATATTTGACATGCTGAAGCTGAAGAAGAAACAAACCCAATGGGAACCCCAGCCTGGGACCAGCACAGATGGACCAATGCAAGGCTGATGTTCATCGATTCGTTGGCCGGCCGTGCGACCCGTTTCGCCCCAGGTGGGCATGCTCGTGGGGTCGGAAGCCCAGACTGGGAAAAGCATTCCGATCCGGAAGCCGCACCTCGTTTTTTATGTTTTTCTATATACACAACGTGTGGTTGGTCAACTTGAGGTCCTCGTTCGTATCAACTTGAGGTTGAACTCTTCTGTTTCAGGTCCGAACTCTTTGGTCGCCGACCGTAGGCTCAGTAGCCACCCCCGCTGGCTAGAGGCCCGCACCCATCCGTCTCACGACCTCGCTCGCGACCTCACCGGAGCGATGTCGGACAGCAGCGAGGCGGAAGGAGACTCCGACATGGAGCTCGATGACCTCTTTCAGAAGCGACGCTGTACCGATGTGCCCTGCTGCCTTTTGTTCGTGGTGGGCATGGTGGCGCTGGTGGCTCTGTTCGTCCATGCGATGGTGGACGGCAATACCAAGAAGTTGAATCATGGTATCAACGCCATGGGACAACAATGTGGTGTGGATCCGGAAGTGCTGGACAAGCCACTCTTGTACTTCTGTCCGGTGGACACGGCCACCGGCGAGCATTCCGTGAATTTGGACGATCCCATTTGTGTGTCGGAGTGTCCGCACGAAGGCTCCAACTTCGCGACCTTCGGTGGATGTCGAACTCCCCGTGTCTACCCAACAACTCAGGTGGGCAGCCGCTATTGCTTGCCATCCTCCTCCACTGAAGCACAAGCTAGAGAGAAGGTGGAAGAGACTATGAGAGATAATGTCTCAAAGTTTTGGGCTTTGGTGGAACGAGTGTGGAAAGCATGGCCAGTACTTCTACTCACCGTGATCGTGGCTTGTTTGATGGGCTACATCTTCCTTTTCATGCTGAAGACCGTCGCCCGCTGCATCATTTGGATTTGCGCCTTCATTGGTTTGGTGGGCTTTATTGGTTTGGGAGCATACTTATGGACTCAAGCCCAGGTCAATGAAGGTTCCATGAAGACAGGCCTACAGGTTTTGGCAGTGATCTCCTGGGTCTTGAGTTCCATCGTTGCTTTGCTGGTTTGCTGCTGTGGCTCGGCCGTGGATTTGTCCACCGCTTGCATGGGACAAGCTGCCATCGTCATTTGGCGCATGCCAGTGCTCTTGTTGTCTCCACTCATCAAGGCCATTCTGAAGGCCACGGTTTGGATCGTGCTTGCTGCTGGCTTCATTCAGTTGTTGTCCACCGGCGACGTCACCGGCTTAGGCCGGGAACGGCACTTGTCGCTGTCGCAGGAGCAGATTTGGATGTTGGTGATCTATCTCTTCTTGTCCTTTTGGCTCCTAGCCTTTATGAGTGCGATGTACCAATTCTCCATCGCTTACGCGGCGGCCTCTTGGTATGTGGCACCTCGAAAAGATCTCAGCACCACCAGGAAAAGGGTGAACCAGTGTGCAATCTTCGAAGGTGTTCGGATTGGCATGTGGTACCATTCAGGTTCCCTGGCTTTGGGATCTGCTTTGATCGCCTTCCTTCAGCTCCTGCAGACCATCTTGGAGTGGGCTGAGAAGAAGAGTCAGGTGGAGATGAATCCAGTGACTGGCTGTGTGGTGAAGTCACTTCTGTGCTGTTGCCGCTGTGTGGAAGGCATCGTCCAATTTGTGAACAAGAACGTTTACATCGACATTGCCTTGACCTCCAAAGGCTTTTGCACCGCCTTGGGAAGCATCGGAGAGATCATCATCCATCATGGTGCTGCCATGGCGATCTTGACGCCTGGCTGGCGATATTGGATATGATCGGGTGATGTTTCGTTTTTCCCAACTTGGGTGAGTCCGCTTTGGGGGAAGAGGTGTTTCCCAGACACTCCCTGTATGGCATGCAAATAGATCCATTGACCCCTTTTCAACAAATCCAGTCCCAGTGCCAGTCAAACCCTTTCTGTTTGAAGTTGCCCCCCCAAGGAACGGAGCGACCTTCATCTTTCAAATCGTGGGTATCGCCTCCATCACAGCTTGCTGCGGCCTCCTCTCTGCAGCTTTGTTGTCACAGGAGAAGTATCGGAGCATTGCGAGTGCATCCTACATGCCGAATCCTGGAGTGGCCATTGCAGTCTGCTGCGTTTTGGCCTTCATCGTTGGTTGGGCCTTCATGACCATCTTCGACATGGTCTCAGACACCTTGTTGATTTGCCATGCGGAAGACTTGGCACGTTCGGATGGCCCCAAGCACACGGACGACAACCGGGAGTTTGCGGAGATGTATGCCAAGGCTGAGGAGCGAGCGAAGGAGTTGCAGGCCCAAGCGGAGTCCGATGGAGAACATCCACCCAAGCCTGGTCGCTACTCCCGGCACTAGTACTTAGTGGCCGCCGACTGGTCCATCAGAGAGGTGAGTCGGTGGGTCGGTGGACTGGTCAGGCAGTCCGATCGATTTTTCGTGGAAAGGCAAAGGCCGGAATCTCTTGGAGAGGCAAATGTACCATATCGAGTTAAAATTGGACGTTTTTTTGTGCGCGACCGAGTGGCGTGCTCCGAGCTCCGCGTGCTCCGTGTGGCGGCGTTGGCCGCCGCAACGCGGCACGGGGGGTATGCGTTGGCCGATTCGCTCAGGACTTGCCTGGACAGAAGACGACACCACCGGAACATCCAGCAGTCAGAGTTGGAAATGAGGCGATTGAAAAGTTTAGCCTGGGAACCTCAGCACATGCTGTAATCATAATCGTTGCATTCGTATGCATGCATTTTGGCTGCAAACGTGACATCAAGAAAGCTGTCAACCCCGTAATTAAGCTTGTGATAGCTTGTGCAAAACTGATTGGATGGTAGACATTCCCCTTTTCCTCGACTTGACGCCCTCTCACTCTCAGGTTCGCTGGTCTGCGGAGCGCTTCGCAGATGATGACCCTGCAGCTGCTGTGCAGCATATGGAGATGGTTCGGAGCTCAGTTGGAGCTCAGCCGAGCATCACCGAGCTAGGCCGAGCTGTGCAACAGCAAAAGCCAAGCAGCTGCTTAATTAACATCTGACTTGGTCTCAAATTGACGTCCCAATGGCACAACGGCCTTCATAGAGCTTCCCGACCAAAGACTTTGGTCCAAGTCGTCTCCACCGCCGCGGTGTGCACGAGCAGGTGGTCCTGGAGTTCCGGCCTATAGCTGACATTGCGATGGCATCAAAGAATGCGTCCAAACCTGAGTGCTCGAGTCGAACGCCCACCGGACAGATGGGACTTTTCAGAGGCATTGAGGGAGGGATGGCATCTCATGCAATAACTATGCTAGACAGGCCAGACTGGAAGACCAAGACCGAGACCTCAAATCAGATGCAGCAACATCCAGCAACATCCAGCAACCATCTCATGAGATCTCATGAGTACATTTCTATGATTTCATAGATTAATATTTCATTGCAAAGAAAGAACAACATATCTCAATTCACAAAACCCTATACAAAGATCCAGAAGTTCCATCATATGTTCCATCACTTCATCTTTCAACGTTTCTCACCATTTGGACCTTTCTCTCTTTCGTCCCGTACGTTTCGAGCCTCTGCCCGTCATGCCTCTCCGCCGGTGCCGCACGCTCCGCCGGTGCCGCAGCTGAGGCGTCGTACCTTGCAGCTCTTGGACTCCTGGGCCTCCCGACGCAGCATGATGCGACAGGTCTGGGTCGAGTCCTCGGTGGGGATGACCGGGCCGGCGTTGGAAGAGGAGGTTTGAGCGACCGCCCGTGGGGTGCTGTGCTGGAAAGTGCAAAGCAAAGAAGGCAAAACCCTCAGAATGTCCGTGTTTTTTTCTGGTCGATTTTTTGTTTGGACCATAGGCCGAGCAGAGACCAAAGGATTCCCTTAGCAAAGTGGTAGTTGAAGCTTTCTTTTCTGCAATACCTTGCTGCAGTACTCAGTTTCACCTCAAATCCTTTGTTCTCGTCCCCCAAAACAAAATTCAGAACCATGTACCGTCCAACCATCCATTTCGGCCATTTCGGCAGCCGTCCGAGCCAACGATCGGAGCCCCGACGCATCGGTCGAGAAACAAACGAGGTGTACATGGACAACATCCTCATGAACTGGAAGAACTTAACACAAGCCGAATTCTTTCGGAGCATGCCAGGGACTCAGGGCAGGTTTTGGGGAGAGTTCGGTGCGACCCGCGCGCGCGCGCGTCCAACACCGGCGGAAAACGGCGAGCCTCGCTCGACCCTTCTTGGTTCGGTGCGACCGTTTGGGGCAAAGATGCAAAGCAAAAACGGGGGCTCAGCAGTACTGTAAGAGTCCCGTCGGTCGGCTGTTTCGGATGTTTTCCCTCAACAGACTGGTCTTAGGAGCTTGTTGAATAGCTGACAAGTGTATGATAGTGTATGTGGTCTGACCTAGCGTGGAATTGATGCGCTTGCCTCGTAGTTTTCTTTCTTTTAACGGATCATCCGCAAATGCATCGTGCATTTTGGCCTGCAGCTGTGAAACGCTGTACGACATGTCCACTACACTGCAAAATACCATGGACATGAATGAGTGTTAGAGCAATGCAGTAAGCAGTCAATCGCACTGCAAGAATGGGAATCTTCAACTCAGAGTCTCAGCGGCAGCTTCACTGCCCGGCACGTCTTCCTCGGCATCTCGGCACTTCAGCTTAGCTATACACTTTTTGGAATGCGACAGAAAGAACATCTCATGCTCTTCAGCTCCAGAAACCTCATCGATCAGCTCCAGCTTGTCAGCCCCACGGCCCCTACGGCCCCACGGCCTCGTGTCACGCGGCGCTTCCACGCCGGCGCCATGGTGTCGCCCAAGGGCCGCGAGAGGGCCGTGCCTGGGCGACGCGAAGCGGTGGACGGATGAGAGAGGGCCATTGATGTGGACGGTTGGGGTTGGAAGTGGACGGAGGGGGTGTGAGGAGAAGGGCCATTCATATATGAAGGAGAGGTCTTATTCAATCTGGAGAGTTATTCCATTCTTGGAAGAACTCCTTCTTCAGCTCGTCTTGGTGTTTCAAGGATGCGAGGACAGGAAGAGATAAGTATATATATATTATATAATATGTATAATTAGTACCGGACACACAGATAGAATATGAACCAAATCCCAACAGCTATTTGGTCCATACTCTAAGTGCAAGCAAAGTGGAGTTGCAGTTACACACTTGGAATATAAATTTATGAAATATGTACGCACTTAGAATCTCGTCCTCCGTTACTATATTACATTACCAATATGGACTGAAGCTGTGGGAACCTTTTTCCGCTCGGGCACATCAATTCGAGCGGAACTTTGTGAAAGCTTAGACACACCAAACCTTGAAGATCATCCAACTAAAAGGGACTCTTTTTGTGTGACAACACAATATTTGTCAATTGGATTGTTTTGTATGGTCTTGCATGGTCGACCAAGACCCCGCACCCAAGGCCGAACCGCCGGCTCTGCGGTGCACCAAGGCCGTGACGATTTCCACCCATCGAGATGCGCACAATCCACCGGTGGAGCTTCCCTCCTCCAGCGCCAGCAACTTCTTTGAAGAAGCCCAAGCAGGAGATGGAAGCAACCGGAGAGGGCCAGGGCCGCCAGGGCAATTCTAACCGGAGGTTTGCAACATTTGGTGAGCTTGAGCTCATAGGTGAGAAGCTCCCTTTTCTGTTCTTTTCTCTTCTCATGCCCTCCCGTTTTCATCATGTGACGTGCCTATATACTATATTCACACTCAACAGACAAAACAGATCTTGCCAAGTAAACCGATGCAATTGTTCTTTGTTCTTCACATCTGTTCCAAAAGAAGAGACCACACAAGCCCGCCCAAGCAACACAAGACACCCCTTGGAGGCACGCCAGCTGGGTCCTCTCCTCCGTCCTCTCCGTCGCAGCACCCGGCTCGGCAGGAGCGGCCGAGGAGGCGGAGCTGCGACGGAAGTTCCAGAAGTTCGCGTCGAAGAGCTCGGCAGAGCTGAGCGAGCCGGACGTCTTGACCTTCGAGGACTTCACGCGGTTGTTGGAGCACTATGAGACCTGGTTTCTAAGGGATATGGAGGGCTGGGAACTGAACCATTCTCATTCCACTGAGCACTGGTAGGATAGACCCAAGCCATAGGCCTTTCGGACAGACTTCCCACTGAAAGCAAAGAAGCGCTTCAGCGAGGTCAACCCTCCAGGTCGGGCAAGACCCCCCACAGCCACACAGCCAGAGGTTTTGGGGATTCTGATCTTTGCCAGACTTAATCAGCATGACGACAAGGCCCCTTCTTGAGGAATCGACATGTATGAGGTGATCACAAGAAAAAGAAGTATAAAGAAGTCAGAGCTCCAACGTGCCACAGAAGCAACTCCAAGGACACCACATCCCTGGCTTCCTTAGTGCCATACTTCTATGCCATCGATCGCAATCGCGATGGCAAGCTGGACTTCCAAGAGTTCTTCTTGGGATCGGTGGCGGCGGATCCTCAGACGGTGCATATCTTGAACTCCTTCACGGGCCGCGAACGCGCCAACTTCACCTTCGACTATTACGACGTGAATCGCAGTGGCTTTTTGGAGCTGGAGGAGTTTCAAAAGGTCTGTCGCGACTGTGCGTTGCCGTCCTTGGATGAGCATGCTTTGAGAAGACACACCTTCGAGAAAGCAAGGGATCTTGGCTTGATGGAAGAATCTCAGAGGCCAGGGGCAGTTTCCCCACCCAAGCCGTTGTCCACACTGTTTGGGCCTAACAGGTATTGCACATTTACGAAGTCTTGTTGTAAACCGTTTTGCCAGCTTTTCATGGCATAATGCAGGAATAGTTGCAGTAATGTAAATACTACATCCCTTTGTGGCAACATCTTGCCAACTGATCGAAGGCTGGCATCTGAAAACTGGTCTTGAGTCGAAGGCGAAAACAGCTGAAATCGAGGCGAAAAACATTGGGACACGTATTTATCTTCTGAGCTCTGTTTGCGCGTCAGGCGAGGACGAGTTCTGGATGATGAAAGTTCTTTCATACCACCCAACCAGAAGCAGTTCTATGAGTTCATTTCCACTGCCACTTGTCATTGACAAACACCACTTGTCATTGTCTTTGTTGGGGTCATACATTTGTCGATGGCGACATGACTTATATATATATATATAATATATATATATGCCCTTATATTGATATCCTTTTGGTCTCTTGCTGTGTTTCTTGCAGCAGTTTTGCATCTCTTTTCATGGAGTTGGGGCCCATTAATGATCATAGCGGGGATTGATCCTGAGTGGCTCTCAAGGGCACCCTAAACCCGAAAACCCAACATGATCAATCAGGTGGTCTTTATCAGGGCTTTTCCAAGAAGACTTAAGCGACACAAGCGACACGTGCCATGTCAATGTGTGTGTCCCCAAACTGGCGATGCATGCGATGCAACCCGCTTTCTGTTTTCACATCCGATGGAGACCGGCAATTCCGATGGAGACTGGTTGGTCATGTTAACCCCACAACTCCCACAGCGTCACCCGTTCTTGTTTTTGGCTCGGCCTCAGCTTTGGCAAAGCACGAAACAGCATGAATTTGTGGGAGAAACCGGGCAACGCCCCAGCCAGTTGGACACATCGCAGATCACTAGCCACATTCCAAAATGACATGCAGGTTGCTACCGATGATCAGATGATCGTTGGTATGTTTTAGTGTGTGTCCCATGACCTGTAACCTCCTGTAACAGTCAATACAGTTCTTGTTGTTCATCACAAATTTTGAGAAAGACCTCTACTAACCATCATCATCCACTGTTACAGGGAATGGGATACACCTAGAACGGTTTCCACGGTTGAACGGTCTCGGTCTCGGCCCGGTCTCGGTCGGTGCCGTTGGTGCCCGGTCGGAGCGGACGAGCGAGGGACCCATGGACATGGGGTGCGTCGTTCCTTTCTGTTCGGAAAGCGTGGGCCCCAAGGCGGTCCCTTTACCAGTCTTTGGTGTCGGGCGTCTGCGTGGCACCATCTCAGGAGCGTCTGCGTGGCACCTCTCGCTTGTTTCGCTTTCAAAAGACCTTGATCAAGCAGCGGAGTCGCCCCAAGCGAGCTGTCCTGGCTCCAGAGCCCGTTGATGGCACTGAGCTGCCGCCGGCTGAAGGGGCGCCGTGGAAAGCACCGGAGAGCGCAGTGGTTGATGGTTTTCTTTTTCGCGTTCGAAGCTTCGGGAGGGGCCTCCAACCTACTAGCGATGGCCTCCAACCGGTCGTAGCTTGTGTGGGAAGGAAGATGCAGCGTGAAGCACTGAACCGATGCCCGGGCTGGGTCAGCGTGCGGAAGAGCCGAGTGCATCACATGTCCCATGTGCGACCAGGATACGGAAGATGCGACCACAGAAGAGCCCAGTGATTACGAGGTGACTGGGATAAAGTCTTTTCACTTCTTTTGCAGGTGCAGCCTGAGAAGAGAACTTGGAAGGTGTTGCAGTCTTTCTCAGCAAGCGAGAGGGTTTGTTGTAAAATTACTGTAACAGGACACTCCTTTGCTTTTCAGTTCAGAAGACTTGGCGATGCAACATCTTGTTCGAAGATGGCCCCTTCTCTGCCGGACATGCTTCAGGATGTTGATGGCCTATTCTTCGACAACGAAGAGAGTCCACGCATTGCATCACAGGATTGGTTGACTCTTTGAGTAGGCAGTCAGGCAATTTTCAGCAGCCAGGTGGCCAGGCGATATCAGCCTCTATAAGAGTCTACATATCTAAATGGGGACAGCCTTGAACAACCAAGAGTAATTAGATAATGAGAGTTACTGGAGAAGCTGCATGAACACACCTTGTTTTATCCCCTCTTTGGTCGTGTAGCTGCTAGCACTCTGACACAAATCACAGAATGCAACCCCAAGGCTTGCTCCGGTCCTTAATGGTTTGGAGGAATACCTTGAACATCTCCAAAGAACTGTTGTTTGGGCAAACTCAGGTGTCAAACATTTGCCAGAGTGCCTCCGAAGGTTATTCAGATTAGGAACTCATATGTTCATCCTGTAAGTCTGGTGAGAATGCAGCATCTTTCTGCCAGTTCTTTTTTGCCAGGACGCACGAACCATGCCTTACACAGATCTTCTGCCAGTGGCGCCACCATGCGAGCTGCATTTGGACACGGAGAAGGGCTACTTGGCAGGATTCAGAGGCAACCAGCAGGTTCGAACGGGGGGGAAACATCTTGCGTTGAAAGGGGTATCTCCAACCAATTTGAGATTCCTTGAGAAAAACGACACGGTCGAGGTCTTGTTGGAAAACGCACGTAACCAAAGTAAGGCAGTGGAAAAAGAGACTTGTATCATCTTGTATCAGTTCTTTACATGTATTTATAGAAGGGTCTGTCCCATTACCTCTAACAGTCAGTAAACGCTTATCACTATTTGTGAGCAAGGCCTTTACTATCGATCATCATCCACTGTTACAGGGAATACCATATTCTGATGATATACGCACATAATTTGCTATATATACACAACACTTATGTTTTCCATGTGTCCTCTCCTTGCAGAGTTTGGATTCTAACCCGCGCGTCGTCCGCAGGCTTGGACGACGCTTTCCAGATTGCTGCTGAAGTTCTGACACTGGCAGAACATGGATGGATCGTTGTTTTTCTTTTTTCTTTTTTTTCTGGTGGCTTTGGGGTTGGAATCCAAGAAAACCACCATTTTACAAAAAAGAGAGCTAACGGTTCGCCGTTTCGTGAGGTGGAACAGTGAAACCGAATAGTATACTTTTTGGATCTTTTTGGGTTCCGGACTCAAAGCCATAACACATCATCACACCAAAGAGTCAGACGACGTCCTTCTTTTGGACGGACGGACCAAGGGCATGGGCAGGATGGCGGCAGGAGTGGCATGGAGGGCGAGAACCGCGGTTTGAGGTGGTGAATTTGAAAGCTTCAATTCCCTGACACTCCATGTGTATAGGAATGATATGGAATGATTATGTACCTACATTGGCCTCTGAAGCCCAAATGAATGCAAATATGCCATACATGGAGTGCCTGGGATTTGTGTCGCTGGCTAAAGCAAACATCAGGAAATGGGCAACGAACATGTCGAGGCAGGATGTAAGATTGGCGGTTCCCTCACACGTGTGCAGACTCTCTTAAGGAAAGGCGCTGGGGTCCAACAAACAACTATCCCCCAGGGTATCCCAGGCTCACGATTGACAGCACGAAGCTCGACGTCATATCGCAACACATTCCGCCGTGCGGGCGTCTCTGAGGAAAGGCCTTAGCCATTCCAATTTCGAAGGCCTCATCCCGCCAGCAGATGGTAGCTTCACCCTGGCCACGGCCGATGACATCTGTGCCCTTTGTAGTGCCAGCTGCAGTTCTGACATGTTTTTCTGCGTCATGTGTGTTTGTGTTGTCGTTGGGAAGGAGTACAACTTCTAGAACACTCTAAGTGGTGTACAGAAATGGTAGAAAGCGGATGAAAGCGGGACATCCATGCCATGTGTTCGGTGAGCATGCCGCTGGTTGCGACGAAGCACAGTGTGCTGCTGGTGCTGCTGAGACTGAGGTAATGCAGCAGCCATTCTGATGAAAGATGAGGACATGGTCTTGACCCACTTGCAGCCACCCTTGAAGGTCTTCGGCGCCTTGGTTTTCGTGAAACACTTGAACAGCACTTTCAGGACGCTGTTTGAAAGTTCAACCAAAGACTCAGGGAAGATGTTGAGATTTTTCATGCAATGTGGGACACATGGGCCGAGGTGCTTTGCACGGGCAGATCTGGGATTTACTGTCCCATTTCAAATGGCATTTCCGTCCCACCGAAGACGAGGGACATGGTGATCTCCTGCATCTCGGCTGGATGAGAGCATTAAAGAGAGATCTGCACATGTGAAGAATTGCTGCAAAAGGACGAGAAAGCAGACTCTTGAGGGTATGAGCACCAGAAAGATCTGTCATTACATGTGAAGAATTGCTGCGCAGGTCAGAATGCTGAAGAAGGTTTGGCAGCCATTTTGGCTGAAGCTCTTTTTGATCCAACTTCTAGACCCTTCCGAGCGAAGGAAGAAACCAAAAAGCCATCGCCATGTCTGGGGATATCAACAGCCAGGCCTTCTGGAATGAATTCATGCGTCGACCTGACGCGAAGGCCGCTTACCAGGCTGAACGGCGACTTCAGGAGAAGAAGCATGCGTGGCTTCAAGAGCGTAGAGTGATTGAGGAGAGAGGTGGGGCGCGTTTTGGAGATGGTCAAAGCCCGCAAAGGACCCCCCTTTTTGTGGAGTGGTGGAGTACATGATCCCAAAACAGAGCGAAGATGAGTGTTTTGCTTTGTGGTCCCGACTCTTCCAAGATCCTCCGGTCTTCATCGTTTCATAACCCGCACAAAACACACACGTTTCACGGTGTCGCGTTCGTTTCGGTGTTTTCCACCCGTGTGTTCAGGTGAGCACCGACGGTTAATCGGCGATGCCTTGGAGGAAGCCCCGGCCGATCTGAAGAAGCTCATCGCACCGATGTTTCACATCCGCTTCGTCGAAGACTACTTGTGGATGATCTACGACGAGTGTGCCAAGCAGAAAAAGAGCTTCCATGACAAGCTGCGCGACGCTGGGACAATGGATCAGCTTTTGCGCATGCGAGAGAACTATCAGACGGGTGGGGAGGAACGCATGGAAATGCTTGAAAAGGAGTGGCATGCCCAGTGCAAAGCCATGTCAGATGCTGAAGAGAAGAAGAAGGAACAACTTCCTCAGAACATCGACATCCATACTCTCAAGCACGTCCTCGAATATGCTCAGGAGTGCAGACGAGAAGGAAACTTGAAGTTTCAAGAGGGTCTTTATGAAGAGGCTCTGCACATCTACAGCCAGGCAGATGATGTGATGAAGAAATGGAAGGTTGACAAGCAGCTGAAGAACGAAGCAAAGTGGCTGAAAGACTATCATTTGCTGTGCTTGAAGAACAAGGCTCAAGCAGCATTGAAGCTTGAACTTTTTCAGACGGCCCTAGATGCTTCCGAGTCCGCCCTTGCCATCGACGCAGAAGACCACAAAGCTTGGTACAGGAAGGTGCAAGCGGAGAAGGGACTTGGGAAGTTCAGGGAAGCAGAAGAGTCGCTCGCGAAACTGGAAGATGTTGCACAATGGTGCCCTGATCGACGACGGATTCTGCAGGATTGTGAAGCCGAGAGGAAAAGGATCAAGATCGCACGGGTGAAACACAAGCAATCCACACAGGACATGCTTGGAAGAGCCTTTGAGGCTGGCGTCTTCAGCCTTGATCGTGACCGCGAGCTGGAAGAGGCAGCCAAAAAGCTTGAAGATCCAGTTCCACAGTCTGCAGTGACGGATCAGAGAAGGTCACTCGAGGCGCGGCCTCTTGAGAGGAAGATCCATCTGACTGCTGCTTTGGCTGGTGATCTTATGGATGAGCTTGCTACAGCTTATGGTCAGAAGTGGTTTCAGGAGCGAGTACGAAAGTGTGCTCGAGACTCTGGCTACGAACGCTCGGTCTTCTTAATGCGCTTAAAGGATGTGGCTTTTGAGGTTCAGAAACCGGTGCTGGAGAAATGGGGCTTTGAGGGGAATGAGCATGGCGTTCGAGAAATGACCGCCGCCATTCGGGAGCACGCGGGGAAGAATGGCAAGGACATGCCAGAATGGCTCAAAGAGAAGCAAGACAGGTGTCTTGAGCTGCTGTATGGTGGAAAAGAAGGCGGCATGCTTGACATCCTGAGATGAGAGCTGATTTCATTTTGTCCAAATAGAGATGATCATGTTTGAAGCTCCTCGCAATCTCGAGCACCTCAATCAAGGCCGTCTGGCAGTGTACATAGAACTCCCGAGTTTTGGCATCACATCCGAGAAAAAGGAGGCCAGTGGTTTTATTCGTTTTTCCGACCTCATGTGAGCTTGAACATTGGTTGTGTGGTCGTTTCTTCCGGCCCGCGTGAGACGGTTGTCGTGAACACCCACTTCTCACCGGCGTCCGTTTTCAAGATGTGGGTGTGGGATGGTGTGGGTGGGTGTGCAACACCTGAACAGGTCCTGTTAATCACTGGGTTAGTCAGCACTGCTCATGCCCATGAGCAGCGGCTGCGCGCAACAAGGTACATGAGCTACCTCTTCCTGGGCGATTATGCCGACCGTGGTAGCCACAGTCTTGAGGTTCTGACGATACTTCTGTCCCTGAAGGAGCCAATGGAGCGGAGGGAGTTGGAGTCATGGATAAGGTTGTGTAGGAGTTGGACTATTTGGATCTACTTGGGATGGATTTTGGTGTATCAAATACAGATACTGTATACGTACACCACATAATCATGAGATATATGAGATCATAGCTCCAAGAGCAACACAAATTTGCGAGCATCACATAGGACAGCCGAAAATAGCATGTCAGCGGAGTGCTGCTCACTTTCGACAGGTTCTCCACCCTAATCGAATCTCCTTGCTGCGGGGTCATCATGCTTCTGGGTTGCAAAATCAGTGCAGCTTGCGGCAGCTTGCGAGGAAGCAATTGAATTCCAATGGTGAAAGAAGGGATATTTCCGGAACCAGCAAAGAAGAAACGTCCCAAACCGGAAGCTTCCAAGGAGAATCGGCATGTGAACTACCACTTGGGCTTGCGGGAGGAGTGTGAGAAGCGGCTTGGTACAGGTGCCATGGAGGTCTACGAGCAGCTCAATCGAACGTGGCTGAGCTGAAGTAGGCAGAATCGGCTTAGAGTCCCGAGTGAAGGACTTGAGGAGAAGAGAAAGTCTTTTCAGGTCTTTTCTGGATGAGTCTCTTTCTGCACAAAGGTAGCAATGTCATTTTTGGCCTTTGAGGATTCTATTGTCAACGTTCTTTGCCTGCTGGTTTGACATACCAGCAAGGGGTCTCAGGGGGGAAATCACTGTCCCCTCTTCAACAATGCAATGCAAGCGTTGCCACTCCCCTTTTACGTTTGTGTCCAGTGATGTCAACAAAAAGAATGACAAAACCACACTCAATACCATTCCCCTTGGAATCAATTTGTGTATCAACGGCTGGTGCTGTGCCTTGCTACACAGCTGTGCCTAGCTGCAGGTTTGAGCACATGTCTCTAGCTGCCAACATGGGTGGCAAAATGCTGGCACTCGGCCCTGGCATCGTGTCATCCTCCTTGCATCGCCTTGAGACTCGGCATGGACATTCGCCTCGAAGTGTCCGTCCGACCTGGGACCTTTGAATCACAAGACTAGCGGCGCCCTTGCTCCTAGTAGCGATGCCCGGGTTCCTAGTAGCGATGCCAGGAGCTACTAGTAGCTTCTTGCTCCTAGCAAGTGTAGAAGTATACCCTTCAAGTCCAGTTTGACCCAGGAAACATCCTGGTCAATCTGACCTCCTCGAGTAGTGTTTTTGTTATGACCAACTGCGGTGGAGTACAAGTACTGGCAAGGCTTCATGTCGCTGTCAGAATTGTGAGGATCAGCTGCGAAAGTACCGGAAACCTTTATATTTGCCGCATCCTTTGCAGCAACGGCCCGAGAAAGCGGAGCGGCTCAATGAGCAGGCGGAACGACTTCGCGGCGCCTTTTTGGTTCGCTTGTGCCTTTGAAGGTTCAAACCTGAACAACCATATAGGGGGAAGTGTAGGGGAACCCAACTTAACTAAGGAGGTTCTCCCTGTCTTTGTCTTTTAAATGACGGCTACCGTGGGAAAGTCTTCCCGAACTCTGAAGACCCCCCGGGGCAATTCTTCGATGCTTTTTGAGAGATGTTCTTCTTCTTTTTGGAACCAACGACGAAGGACCACCGAGGACGATGGGACGATGGGACTGGGATTTCCTCGAAACCGGATCCGGGCGAGAGAGCTCCTCGCCTCGCCTGCTCGGAGGTCCTCTTGGAGCTCTTCACGCGACCCGGCGAGGGGGTCAGACCGGTGGAAGACGGACGTGACGTGGAAGACGGACACGAGGGGGTGGGGGCAAGAGTCAGTCTACGTGGTCAAATCAGATACACTCAGATCATATGAAGCTTTACTACAGAGATACTCAGATTATGCTACAGATCCTGAAGTCAAATGAAATCATCATATTGGAACCGATGGTAGGTGTTGACCCATCGATCTTGACCCTTCTGAACATTTGCTGTTGGTTGTTTGGGTCGTTCGTTGGAGGTGCATCAATCCATATGATCAAGGGTGGAACGTGTTGTAGGTACAAGTTCGACTCTTCCGTTTTTCCTATGAGAGGAGTACATAATAGATATACATACGTAGTGATGCAGCAAAGTGGCGCCAACCTCGAGGGGCTCCAAACCAATTTCGAGCATTTGTCCTTGATTGGTTGGTCTCTGGTGCGTCCGTTTTCTTAAAACAGTATCGGCTGCGGATGTTTCATTCGGGAGACCCCTCCCGGGGGTCCTCTCGCCCCGAGTAGACGCTGGCGTGACGTCTATCTTT